TTAGTATCGCCGATGTCAATGCCCACTGAGTCAGGCATTATCTGTTCATTGTTTTTCTTTGATATATGCATATTCATACATGATGTTTTTTATATTGCGCTCCCACATTAATTGCAGCTGATAAATACGTTATATCTTGAAGCTAGTTCGTGACATAAATCAATTATGGTCCGGAGCATGTGCCGAGTTGAGCGACATATATACTACACACATATATAGACGCGGGCGCCAACGACGTTGTCTGGCCGATATGGATGTCTAATGAGCTGCTGTTCCTGCCGCCGTTTCCTATTGTGCAATTTTATTATTATTCACATTCGTTTTTCTTTGTGATGACTCAATTTAAATAATTTTACATGCGCGCGCTTTCATAAATGGACATGCGATTTACTTGTCCTGCTTTAAATATACACACTTACAGCCACATAAATGTGTCTCTATTTATATTTCTAGAGGTGTGCAAAGTCGATCACGTTCCATTTCCACAGACGACATAGTAGCCAAAGCGTGACAGGAAACGGAAAACTATTTTAATTTCACTTTACAAACATTGCCTTTCGCCATATCTATTGCTATCCGATCGACTATTAAAAGCTGCATGGACAGGTAATATTTAGGTCGAAGTCAAAGAAATCCTGCTTAAATTAGTCCAAATAAGAAGACGTTTTCAGTAATCAATTTAAATGAGATAACAAATTTGGAATAATACATATTTATATATACAATGGTACTAAATCAGAAATATATATGGGTATTAATGTAGAAAAGTACTATTAGTAGTTTTTGGTTTTTGGCTCCTTAAATACGCTCCAACTAAATTGATAAACAAATGCAAATAATTTTTTTATTTTTAAAAAAATAAAGAGAAAAACAAAAAAAAAAACAAACAAATGTTATTAAATGTAACATAAAATATGCTATAAATGAAACTAATAATGAGAACTGAAGCTAGGTGCCGGCTTCGTACAAGATTTTGCAAGTGAGTAATTTTATATTTTCCATATCATTACGAATACCTGGGAGAATCGACTATCCTTTCTAGCTACAAGTCGACCATCAAGAGGCCTTTCGTATATTCTAGTATCGATCATCTCAATTCCTTTTGCAACTCACTGGACTTGGTTGTCTTCAGTTTTTAAAGTAAACATTGTCAACTATATGAGATATTTTAATAATTAGAGAAAATAATGTAATGATGACTATACACCTGTGATAAAAACCACTTATTAGACATACTCGCACTCACACATTCGGAACCCGTGAATTCGGCTGCAGATATCGGACTGAGTAATCCAATCAATGATCCAGGCGAAAGCAGCAAGTAAAAGTTTGGTTTTGTGGCAACAGGAAATGCCATTCCAATTGTGAACCGCGGCCTTCGTGTGGCCTCCAAATTGTCATCTATCTGAGCAATTAATAACATGAAAAGATTATAAATAAACGAATTTGTTGTCATAACTGCTGCGATATGCTGGTGATGTTCCCCTTGGACCACGCAGCCGTGCAATGCACCCAGGTCCGGGTCCATCATGTGGCCGGCGCGTCTACCTTGACGATTTAAATGGAGAACGTTCCATTAATCAGATTCGATGTTGGCGTTTTCGCCTCATTATCAACAAAAGTGTCACCAGGCAGTGAAAATTTATTGAATTTAATTAATTAASCAGCAAAACAAAGTGAAAATAGCAGACTGCATGAGAGGTTTCACATTCAAATTGCGAGAAAAAACACACAAATTTGTAAGCGAATAATTTAAAATTTTCACGTTTTTTGGATTTTAGCCAACCGGTTTACGACGTCATCGTACAACAATTGTCATGAAAAATAAAAACAAAAGAGAAAAGAATTTTTAAAAAACAAAGCATTGAATACACTATCTAGATATTGCAACGAATTGTTAACAAAGGCTTTTCGTTTTTGCAGTCTAGGTAAACTCAAAAACATAAATTTTTTATATCATCCATTTCTTTTGTACAGATATACGTAGACTAAAAGAATGTTAAATAGTTAACCATTTGTAATAGAGAGATGACCTAAGATGTCCGATTCATGTAATTCCTGTTGAAAAATAAAAATCTATAAAAGGAACATAGGCATAGTATTCAAGCACTTTGGAATCATTTGACTTTCGACTATATTGATAAGCATAGTTCCTTGCATATTATACAAATAGTTCTCTGATTTTCACAACATACTCGTGATACCCTCTGTTAGGGTAGCACAACAAAGAAACGGTACACACAAAAGATTTGTATTGTATATGGTCGCATCAGTGGGTAATAAAGAATTTTCAATGCTCTTTTAAATATACTATTTAAAAACTGATTTACGGCGTAATTAATCAGCTAATCAGGCATATTTAAGACTCATTAAAATTCTTTAACTAATGCGTTGCACGACTGTGAAAACAGCTCTAGATATATATATATTTATATGACATTCCATATTGATAGCAAGTTTCAGACTCACTGAAACTATACAGCTCTATACATTTAATACTATCGAAATATATATACTTCATATATTGGTAGCTTATCGTATTATATTCTTTAATCGTTTATCGTTTACTGAATAAGTTGGCCATGTTGTCCGAAAAAACTTGAAATTTATAACTGGTTTGGTGAGTGATTCCCCTCGTCGTATTGTTAACATCCCATGACTCACTCGATATTTGGCCAGCAGAGTTGACGCACAACTGACAGCAACCTACATATACATATAACTCTGATTATCTCTGGGGAAATGTTGTTAGTAATACTCGTATTACGCTGAATACAAAATAACGTGAGCAAAATCCCTCGCATGAGCTGGCCCAAAGCACAAAGATCTACGTTACCATGTATTCGTTACAATACGGGAGAGAGTTTTTCACACAGAATTACGGGACCAAATATGCAATTTAAATAGGGAGATCAATCAGCCTTAAATTATTATTACTTGTATTGTATATGCCCAAAACTGTATACATACATATGTACAATAGAAGACAACATAGATAGGAAAGTACTTTAAAGGTTTATGAATAAATA